AGACCAAATGCAATGCAACTTATGAGTTAAATAGGACACCAAAACATACAGAACTTGTACCTGTGCATACAATGCAGTGAACTACATGGACATGTACCCACATGGATGAACTTTATGGAAGATCAACAGGTGATTATTTACATCACCGACAATGAAATGTGAGGGATATGCAAACACAACAAAAGGATGCTGTTTTAGATTCATCCATACCTGTGACCAGGGCAAGGCAAAGTTTAGAATACAGAGGGGATCAAACAACATCCACTAACCCAATATTTAGTTGGGTATTAAATGAGACCACCTCCTCTCCTTGAATGAGTCTACCATTAGGCGAAAATATATCCCACTTTTCTATAAAGGATATTACATGGTTAAGGTACCAGTGCATCAGTGTGTGTACATGTACATGTACAATACACAACAAAGAACACGCATACCTGTTTTACATACAAAGTATGGACTTTCCTTTGTTCTCCTGTGGTTAAGGAAACTATAGGAAAATGCTTCTTTTCTCTAACTAGAATAACTCCTTGGAGCTGGAGCTTTGCCACGGATAACCGTGACCCCAAAATGCCTCTGAAACTGGGGGAACATTGTGTGGATGTGTGCGAGTCCACACTACGCCATCACACCCTATATTATGTGGACTTCTTTTGTGCAGAGGTCCACACTTTGTATGGCACGCCTGGACGCATTGCATTTTGCCAAAAGAAAAAAAACTTGTTTTCTACGGCGATACGGACCATTGCACTCTATGCAGACCTACCCCAAACTCAAAGACCAATGCTGGAAATACAATGTAGTAGTGGCAGTGTGGTGAGTGGGGGGGGGTTCCACTCCATGATGCGGGGGGGAGGTGGTACAAAGCAAACACCTGCCAAGAGTGCACTTACCTTTTTGATATTCCTAATTGTATGTCCCATTGTTGAAGAATAAAAAACACCAGTATGGTGCTGAGTGTCCCATCAGACAATCTGGATTGGTTTGCTGTGTTACCAGACTATTCTGCAGTAGCATCAAGGATGGGTTTGTGATTATGAGGCATGTACATGTAGCCACGTCTTTTACCAACAGGCACAGCTGCCAGTATTGCAAAATACTGCGTGTGTCTGTACCCGTTACCTTTCTAATTACATGTGCAATAGTAAAGTACACACGTATGGTACATGTACATGCACATGTACTTTGCTAATGCATCAAAAGCCTAGTGTTCATGTATGTAACTGTTTCAAGATGAAACCAATGTGGAGACCAAGAATGTTCTGGAGACAACTTTCTGTGCCTTCAGCAAGTGTTGACTTTCCTTACAAATGACAACTATGAACTCACTGTACCCTGGCAGTGTACATGTACATATAGACGCATAAGACTTCTGCAAGATACACCAGTAAAGATTGCTGCATAGAAAAGTGGAAAGACTTGGGGGGGGGGAACAAACAGAGCGAGATAGTACCGACAAAAACCTCAACCCCCTGGGCAACATAGACCTGAGACAAAATCAGACACACCACGGGCGCAACAGACGGCATCGGTGTAAATATACATAATGTTGACCTTCTATTGTCCTTCAGTTCACAGATGTGCAATATGTACTGAAACTTTTGGCAAAGGGTGCATACGGAGTTTTTGGTGTATTCTCTGCTAAAGCGTTCAACTGTGTCATTTTTGTGTCGCTTGTGTTTTCTAAAAGTATGGAGTGCATTTGAAAATGCTTCATATGAATTTTCTTTGTGGCCGAGTTTTGTTTCAGAAACCCATGTGTTAAGATGGTCTATAAATCAAGAAAAATCTTAGAAATGGCGACAGTAAGGTGATATTTATTGTGGTTTTCTCGTGTCTCCAGCCCAAGTGCTTTTCATGAATACTCTCCTATTCGTCCATCATGTATGCATACCCTATTTTGTTATTAGCCCACAGCATGCCCGAAATATAAAATACCAAATTGGAAAAGATTAGCTCATTTATTTGTCCTTATTGCCTTCAGAACACCTGTTGCCAATTTCGTGACCAGATACGCAATCATTTCTTCGAAACAAAACACATTTGAGAAACATGCCCTATGAAGTTGCTCACAGATTAGACCGACCTGGGGATTATATTGTACATATGGCATAAAGTTTTGAAGTCAAAAACACCAAATGCAGGTGAGCTCAAACAAGCATACCAGTCAACAGTGTGTTGGATGATGACAGCTCAAGTTGTGGAAGAAGTACATGTCGGTAGAAATACACATTTTGTCAAGGGAAGCCCATTTCAACATAAGCGAGACAGAAACGTTACACCAGATATGTAACTGATTACAAATTCATTGTGCAAATTTTAGGCTGATGTCAACAAAAATGAGATAATGTCATCAATTCACGGGTCACATGTAAAAGGTTTTTGCACATGTGAATCACAGTGCATATACTCCCCCAGTAGGACTGTATATTTTGTGCTGAAGTTCTGCCGAATATTCTTGATGTTATGGTGAAGAGTATCATACAATTTCTTCTCGTAAACTATGGAACTTGTAGAATCTGTAGATAAAGATTCTAAGAGGTAAAGAAAGGAAGTTGTAATTTCACAAAAACTTGATAGCATGAAACCATCGTTGTTGGTTTACATGGAATATCTCACTACAGTAACATATTGGGGAGTCAGGTTGGCAAGGTAGTTCTTTCCTCGCCCTTCCACCTCTGTGGTCCCGGGTTCAGTCTCGGCCCGGTCCACATGTGGATGGGGTTTTAAGTACCTACCTGACTCCCTGGGTTTTACCCAGAATATTCCTTGGGGCTTTTCCTCCCACCTGTTACTGCTTATTACTGTCTCCCTTTACTGATGTTGGTAAATGTGGGTCGTTTGGCGACTGCCCGAGGCGCCCTTGTATGCCATCGGCTCAACCAGGTTTAAATGTATTCGTTTTAATGTCTTCATTGTACAGCGCATTTGAACATATCTATGTGAAATTTGCACTTCATTAATGAATAAATTACTATTATTAGCTTGGCAACATACATGTATCGGTTCCAATATCAAAATAATGTTTTTGTTGTCAAACAGTCACAAAACAATCTCTTAATTTAGTCTGCCTGTCACAAATGTACCAATGAAATTACTGAAATATCTCTGAAATCTTATTTAAAAATATGAATTTCTGGAAGTGGACTGACGGTAACGAATTTGTTTGTTCCAAGGTGTTTTGGAAGGCTTAACTTCAAATAGTAATTATCTTCCGAAGGATTATTTTTTAAAAATCTCCTCCGTATTACTTTATGTATTCATAAAATGCACATTGTAATATATAACATGGAATGAAGAAATGGGAATCACTTCCACTGTGTGAAACAACACAAAATTGACTTTTACTGATTTTTTTAAATTGTCGATATTTAATTGGCTCTCTTCATACATGTATGTAGGGTGTACACATTTTCAATTTTTGACGATGCCTTCATTGTATGAAGAGTGTACAGTTTTCAATAACATCATTTCTTATCATTAATTACAACAGCTGTGCAGCTTTGTGTAAGTGCTGCTGACTGCATTACTCCGGTAAATCTTATTTTTGATCTGATTTGTAAGATGTGTTACCCGAAAAAACCTTGGCATTGGGGATCTTACTATCTCAGTCTCATCAGAAATATTTGTATAATTACCTGTTCATTGAAAAGATAAGGATTAATTATTTAGCTCAGAGAAAATAAATGTGAAATTGCAACATGCAAAATGATAGTTGTAGCAACGGACATTATGTGCATGTCCGAATCAGACAGTTTCTCTAGGTTTTTTCCACAATCTAGAAAAAGCTGGTATACCATCATTAAAATTCCTCTTTTTAAAGTCTGTCTTTCACGATGTGTAGCTCCGAAATTCATAAAGACTTCAGCCTCTCCAGATTTTGTTTCAAAAACAATTTTTCTACAAGTAGAATGGTGGAAACGTATCTGTTAGGTCATTAAACTTACATTTTAGAAGGTTCAACTTCAAGTATGTATGTCCAAAAATATGATTGAGTTAAAAATCAGTCCTGATTTGTTCCATGTTCTGGAATAAACTTTACAATTTTGAGCAGATTTCTTGAACACATTAGCGAAGAATGTGCCACATATATAAAGTTTCCAATTGTACCCTCACCACCATGGACCCTATAATCATCTAAGGTTAAAGGTCCACTATTTGAATGTGTTTTTTCGTAATAATACGCAAACTCACAGGCCGTCATGGATGACCGATTAAAAATAACACTAACTGAACACAGGTCTGACTTAGGACTTGGTAACTTTGGACCTCCTTACCACATGGGTTTCTGAAACAAAACTTGGCCATGAAGAAAATTCATATAAAGCATTATCAAACACACTCCATACTTCTAAAAAAACATGAGCACGAGCATAAAAATGACAAATTTAAACGCTTTAGCGGAGAATGCACGTATGATCCACACTCTACAAAATGCAGTCTAGGATTC